TTGGGCCTGTCGCTGGAAAAATGCATGGTTACGACATGACCCCTGGAGTTCTGGACACGAGCCGTTATATAGAATGCACAGAGCTGTAAACAAAGACTTAAATTTGATATGGGTGTATCACTGTATACATGCAGTGATTTGAAAGTCTATGGATTTTCATGGATTGATGTACAAAATCCCTTTTTATTAAATGTTAAAAACTATGCCTAATGAAGTGATGTGTCAACCTTGGCTACCAATCTTAGTATCATATTTTGATCTTGCCTCCTTTTTTGGCTATCATACCTTACATATAAATTTCAAAAATTTTTCCAATGGGTTCAGTCGCGTACCAGTGATAAGCAGCACAGGTGCAGCAAATAACAGCAACTACAAGGGGCACATTCCTAAAGGTGTTGCAAACTGAATCAGGTTCACAACTTTTTTTATGATGGAATTTGCTGATCATTTTCAAGTGTATCTCTAAAGCACCCATAGCCAGTCCATGGAACGTAAACACGGTGATCAGGTTTTAATCCATCGACAGTCCATGGAACTAAAACACAGTGAAAGGTTATAACAGTTGAAGATGAAACTGGAGAGTATTTTAAGAAGTTGAGAAAAAACTGTCAAACTGGAACAAAACCAATGAACTCACACAGGACATGGGAGAGCCATGTGTTACAAGCAGTGATGTACTTTTATATTAATGTACTAAAGCTGCACATACTTGAAATCTCAGTCTTGAATTCTCAGCTTTGTGAAGCCTGTAAATTTGAGTAAAATATATATACATGAAAATAGTTAAAATGATGGAGTCTTACAGTTCACCTTGAGCTGTGGACATGAAACTCCTGAAAATGATAGTTGCCTGGAGCTCGTGCTGATGTTTTGGCTTCAATGCTTTCTCTGTTACTGACATGGAAGTATGGCTATAAGGAATACTGACTTTTCTCTTGCATTTATATGCTGCAGGCTTGATCCAGGTCTGTGACTCAGAAGCTTTGAAGCCAGAAAGAGCTAGGCAACTAGTATTTTCAGAAGGAGATTCATCTCCTTCATGACAGGTGTACTTTAAAGTGAACCTGTGGCTAGGCTAGGGAAATTTAAGCATTTACATAGTGTTAACGAGCATACAATGAGCTTTAAAAACAAGTCCTCACTGACAGTGGTGGCTGCAGGTACTGTAGAGCAATTTTCCTAAACCTTCGCAGCAGAAGCACTGAAGCTGGTCAAGTCATTTCCTGAGCAGCTATTCTCCCCATCCTACAGCACCTTCTTTGTGGTTACATGAGAAATTAGGAGGCTGGGATGGGGGAATAGTTGAGCTGGCCTGAAAGACAACATAAACAGTATCAGTTCTTATGTTGTTAACTTTTAAGGATTAATTGCTCCATATTGCCTGATAGCTTGGCCAGAAGTTCACTTTAAAGTGGCATAGTAGTAATTAGAAACAGCAAATGTGACATTCAAAGCTGCTTTAATAAATGGGTCAAGCTGCTAAGTGAAAACCTTTATAAATAAGTCCCACTTATATCAAAATCTAAATGTATTTTTTCAGTCATGCAAACAAGATGAATATTCTTGTACCGCTAATTAGTAATTGTTTTTTTCCTTCTTGAAGAACATAAAAGGAAAATATAGCTCATGGTGAAATTACTTATGATTTTTTTCATTAGTTTCTAAATCCGTTATGTTATGTGAACTTGTTGCTTTAATCCTCTAACGGCACAGCTGAAAAAAATGTGTGTTGCCAGTTCTACTCACAAATTCAGGAAGGATTATAGTTGATTATTGTAATCATGTAATCAGTGTTGGCTGCAATGAATAGGACTTTATATACCCAACTAAAATAAAGGGATACACCAAGGAATCAAATCATGGCAGAACATTGCTGCTTTTACTCAACCTTAAACCCTGCCCTTCACAGCAGACAATGTGAAGGACACAAAGAGATCTTTGGTACCACAAGAAGATGTTTAATGGTCCTGGACATCTTAGGATCACCATACACAGGCATTTCCAGAGGACATAAGACCATGTTTAATCCCATTATGACCTCTCATGAATAAGCCCAACCGGGGAGAAACACATCAGCGGGGCGTGGTCTAAGGCAGGGACTGTGTTTCTGTAGGCCAAGTACATAGAATAATGCCTCCAGTGTGATTCAAACAGTCTTCACTTTTCGCTAGGAATGCTGAGTGGGATGTGCTTTGAGATCTGGTAACTGATGTAAAAGCAGGACTTGAGGAGCAGTTTCACATAACTGAGCAATGCCATTTTTTGTTTGATTTCTAAACCCACCATTTTTTTCAGAGCATGTGCAAGGATATGATGTTCCTTTTGCTATGGGAATTGGACTCCTAGATTTTTTGGTTCACTTCTGAATTTTTATACCACCCAGTTGTTGATTGAGATGCTCAGTTTGGCTGTAACAAAAATTGGTTACTGTGCTGCCAACGTAAAAGGTGCCAAACTACATATTGATCGCCATTTTAGATAATGTCTACTTGTAAACAATCTATGGACAGGTCAAGAAAGGACTCCCATTGCTGCCAAATACTCACTTGTGCATGGACAGATCTGGTAAATATCCAGCAATCCAGCAGCTAGTCAAAGCCGTCTGGCTTGCTGGCGTAGGGACACTTCTACAGACATGCTTTTTCCTAATATATTTCCCAAATATTATTTTGTCTTAGTCAACTGTGGCTTTAGCTCTGTGTTGACAGTGTCATTCAAAGCACCTTTAATCTGCGGCTAGATTCAAAGAGCTGCTCTTCTGGGCTCATTATCCACAAAGGCAGACATTAAGCAGATTTCCAGGCTTTTCATTTAACCTGTCACTAACACCCAGCCAGAGGCTAGAAATTTCTTGGAGCTTTGCATTTTGTATATGTAGCATGCATATTAAAAAGTGTACCTATTTTAGATTGAAAAACACCTATGTCAGAGCAAACAGTGAAACCATATTTTACATTTTACGTTTTTTTAGATGAACAATTTAAAAATATAAACAGATATGTAGTATGTAGGTAGTTATATCTGTGTCACTTGATGGGCCTTAGTTTTCTCTACATTTTACCCCACCCTATCCATATGTATTAATCTATTGACTCATAGGTCCTCCTCCCCATGACTAATCCATATCTTTGATGGTATTTATCTCTTTCTTGTTCCTTTAGAATACTCTTTAAAAATCTTTGAATTCTCTCTTCCATCCTTATCACATGGCCATGTTATTTAAGACAGAGAATTCTACTAGTGAGTACTACAGATAAAACTGTAAGTCTTCATTTACATTCTGCATTTATCAACTTTTCCAAAAAATCCTCCATAAAACCACATTTCCCGTCTGTTGCGTCTGTCCACCTCTGCCTTTGTTAGCACTGAGGTCTCTATGCTTATATAACAGTGGGTTTGGGAATAGTTCTATAAATCTGAATTTTAGATTTCTGTGACAAAGTCCTTGATCTCATAACTTTCTTTAGTGAATAATAACATCTCTCTCCAGCAGCTATTCGTGCTTTTATTTCCTGGGACACATCATTATTGCCTGCATTTATCATGGAACCCAGGTAGTTATGTCTATTAAATCAGATTTTGCTTTAGGATATAGCCGGGGTACATCAGAAGACACTGTCTTTTTTTTTTTTTTTTTTGTCACTGATCTGACAACAAGGGCTTTTTCTAGTCAGTAAATTACAGCTCTGATAACTAACCTGAAAATGACCTCTGTTGCAAGACCTGTGATTGGCACTTGGGCAGATCACAGAGCATGTGCAAGGTATAAAAAGAGAACATCAGATAGCCAGGAGAGCCTAACTGGGCCCATCAATTTTTTTTTTTTTTCAAACCCAGAGAAAGCTATTGGTTTGTGCCATAGAAGGTAAACTGAAAAAAACTGTTTGATGTTTCTCACTAGTTTGTTTCAGGGCACTCTAAGGCTGCAGTTATGGTACAAATCAGAATGTGACTGGTAAGAATTGAAGTAAGGCACGCACTGGTGCAATGGATAGGGCCATATTGTTTGTGTTGCAAATAAACATTTATTGCAAGACAAAGGGTCTCTAGAGCACTGATGGATATCAAAAGAGACAGCACAGGACAAGCTGCTTGCCTATTGGCTGCATTTGTAAGGTTGAAATCATGGATGAAGCTAGCCTCTAGCTCCAATTGAGTTTGTAGCAAAACTAAACTCTCTCAATCAAAAGTTACTATTTTTAATCATTATGATGCTAGCATTAGTAAATAGATAGGAAGGTGTATTATGTTTACTGTTTTAAAACTTTTTTTTTTACATCTCTTCAGTTGCTTCTTGCTTTCTGGCTTAGGCCATAATGATGTCATACATCTCAGGAGTCTTCATGAGCATTTTTTTCCTTTCATCTGGAGGAGGAAGCAGGGGCTGCCTCAGCTAAGCACATTCTCCTTCTTGCAAACCTGAACTAAGGGCAGATGGATTCCAGGAAGTACAGTAAATGCTACATAAATCATCTGCCCTTATTCAAGATGGCCACTGCTAGAAATTTAAGGGGAGTGTTTTTTAACCTCCCTAGCGGTATGATTATTTCAGATTTTTGGTGCTGAAAGCAGTACCATATTTTTGCATGGAAATATGTATTTTTTTTTATTGTAGGCCTGTAATTTAGGAATAACTCACTGAAATCTGTCCGAACAAGAGTCTAGTAAACATTCCGGATATGATAAAACTTGAAACACAAAATCATAAATTATAATTTAATAAATAATCATAAAAAAAATAATATAATAATAATAAATTTAATAAATAATATAATCAAACCAAAAACACTGAAATTTGAAATATAGCGCCAAGTTCGCACATCACTGAGCAAAGTCGCAGAATTGTTTTCAGTGTCTGATGACGAATTTCTCCACGAATCATTATCACTCAATTCTGAAAGTGGTTCTGATTTACTATCGCTGTTCTCTAGCTGGTCTAAAACCGCTTTTGACATAAAGGGACGCTTTTTGGACGCCATGGACTTTTCTAAGTTTCCAGGCAGAAAGAACAGTCAAAATGCAGGCAGGGGACAGGACAAAGCAGTCGGGACAAAATGTATGTGGAATTTTTTGAAACAGCAATGTTTTACTATGTAATAATCATTTTTTAAAAAACATTTTTTAAAAAATTTCAAATTTGCCGCCCGTACGTCCCGACGTCACAGGGACAGGAACACGGAAGCCGGATGCCGGCATCGGCTGGAGGAGATGGCCGGGGACGCTGCAGGGGACGCATTGCGGGAGTGAAGGACAAGGTAAGCGCTGCAGGGACGCCCTGTGCAACGCTGCATGGTAAGCCCGAATGTAGCTCGGGTTACCGCTTTTGGTACTGAAACTTTACCCCGAGCTACACTCGGGAATACCGCCAGGGAGGTAAAAGTGCTTTCTCAATCAAATAAAACATGGAGACATGAATGGATGGGTGAGTCTGCATTGAATAATAAAAATGAATTAAACAACGTTTTCAGTTTTTGGTGCTCAGATCCACAGTTCCACTTAAAACTATTAATCTCTGTAAAAAAAAGGTTTTTATTTTGACAGATGGTCGGAAAACATGTAGTATAAATCTTATGATTCAGCTGCTGGCTAGATAGGAGAATGCATAATGTTTACATGCATTATTTACCTGACTAAATAAAGACCATAATAAATAAATAAAAGAGGGAGAGTGATAAGGTTAGTTTTTATATTTTGATTAATTGTCAAGGATTAATTTGAAAACTGAGCTCCAGGCAAATGTAAATGAATCCAGCTCTATATTGTGGATTGCTTAATTAAACATTCATTCTTTTTACATGCAACTAATGCAGATACTCAAATTGTACTTCATTTCAGCATTTTGTACTCCCCTATGCAGTGGGGGGGGAGACTAGGAGCAAGCAGGTAAGTTACATGGAAATAACCTGAAAGAAATAGGCTGATTGGAAAAGAGAACATAGGGATGAATCATCAGTCTCTTGCTGTTCATTCATTGCCCAGTCTACAGGCTAGGAACTGGGTGGTGTCAGCAGTATACTACTTTAAGGCCAACTCCAGTTTTTTTGGAGTTCAGTTTTAGTTTTATATTAGTGAGTACAGGTTTAATTTCAGGAGTTAAATTAAGAGTTTAGTGCTAGGGGGGGTAGTAAAGAGTTAATTCTCAGAGTTAGGCTAGGGGTTAATTTTCAGTGCTGGGGGTAGATTAAAGTGTTACTAAACCCACAACAGTAAAATCAGTAAAGCATTGTGCAAAAACAATGTTTGATCCTCCCCTTCTTCCAGTGACCCCCTCTTATTTTCTGATAGGACATATCGTGTGGAGTCACTCTGCACATGCTCAGTTTTGGTGTGTATTGCTAGAGAGGTTTTTTTTTTTTTTTTTCTTCGAATAGTGCATGTGATCAGCACAAGGCCAATCAGCACTGTCCAGAGAGATGTCTGGACAGTGCTGATTCTCAGTCCTGCACCCTCCTAGAGTAAAATGAAAACTCCTCCTACAAGCTTTAGCCAGTGCTCAGCTGGACATTGATAGAAGTAACAAGACTGCTGTAAACTGCTGATGAGTGAAGGTATTTAGCAGTTTATATTTACTAAAATAATTGCATTTCCATGTTCTGTGTACTATGGGAGAATGCAGGGTTCTGGGTTTAGTAACACTTGTAGTGATTACTATGGAAGGTACTGTAGGTTATAGCAGAAATTAACCGAAAGACAAACATTTTATATATTCCAGTTTACCAATTCTTAGATGTTGTGGCCCCATTAGCCTTCTGATTTTTTTTTCTTTATTTTTACCTAGATGATCTAGTGAGTAACACAATTCTGGTATTAGGGTGGCTCCTCTATCTGTGGAAGAGCAGTAAAGTCACTTATGGAGAGCAGCAATGTTTGGAGAGGGTAGTATTAAACTGGCCATAGATGGATTGAATCTCAGCTGATTCAGCAGGCACCAGCCACGATTCGATACATCTATGGGCAGGCTGGTTGTACTGAAGTCGATCCATCTATTGATTTCAGTACAACCAGCCTGTTGGATTATTTTCATGTGATCACTGCCAGCGGCTATAGCCACCAGCAGCAATCATTGTGTTCTACTGGGAGAACACAAAAGCATTGTGTGGGGGAATTGAGCAGTTTTCTTTCCTTCCACTCATGATGGAAGAAAAGAAAGATCATAATGTATGGGCTGCTTTAAATGGGCTAGTAGATTACAATGGACTTTGTATGCGTTACTAGCAAATTAAAGTGTTACTAAACCCACGGCAGTAAAATGAGTCTGTAGACGCAGTAAAGCATGCTTGTTATACTCACTGTGGAAACTAAGGGGTTAACAGGCAGTTTGGTCCTGTTTTCTCTGCCCCTCCTTTTGTTCAGACGTCCACTTGATAAGACAGACTGAACCCGTAGTCACATGCACGTGCTCAGTCTAGTGTGTATTGCTAGAGAGGTTTTTTTTTCCTTGGGAGGGTTCATGTGATCAGCACAAGGCCAATCAGCGCTGTCCAGACAGAGGTCAGGGGTTTTTCATCCTCCTAAAGCAGAAACGATACTCCTCCTACAAGCATTAACCAGTGCTCTGCTGAAGTCACAAGGCTGCTCTAACTGCTGATGAGAAAAGGTATTTAGCAGTTTATATTTACTAAAATAATTGCATTTCCATGTTCTGTGTACTGTGGGAGACCAGATATTGTAAATGCAGGGTCCTGGGTTTAGTAACACTTTAAAGCCAGACTCAAGCTTCCTTTTGGGATATACATTTTAACTAGCAATCCAGTCAGTGTTCAATGAAAGGTTTCAACCCCCTAACTGCCCCTTTTGCTACACAGCTTGGCCTGTTAAAGGAAGTTGAAAAATGAAAAATAACAGCATGATCAACAGGGTTAAATACCTAATCTACAGGGAGGACTGAAAAACAAAGACTGCTTTGTTAATGCTAGACGGCATCTTATATGTTGTTTATTATTTTGCCCTTAGTACCATTTTAAGGGTTAGGAGGAGGGACAGAATTAGGGTGGTGGAAGTGTTAGAGATAGCTGACATGGTGGAGTGGTAGCTTAACCTCCCTAATGGTCTGATTATGTCCATATTTCTGTGCTCAAAGCGGTACATTTTTTTGCATGGAAATATGTATTTTTTTTATTGTAGGTCTAATTTTTAGAAATAACTCACTGAAATCTGTCCGAACAACAGTCTAGTAAACATCCCGGGTATTATAAAATTTGAAACACGAAATCATAAATTATAATTTAATAAATAATCATAAAAAATAATAATAAATTTAATTCAATAATGTAATCAAACCAAAAACACTGAAATTTGAAATATAGCGCCAAGTTCGCACATCACTGAGCAAAGTCGCAAAATCGTTTTCAGTGTCTGATGACGAATTTCCCCACAAATCATTATCACTCAATTCTGCAAGTGGTTCTAATTTACTATCACTGTTCTCTAGCTGGTCTAAAACCGCTTTTGACATAAAGGGATGCTTTTTGGACGCCATGGACGTTTCTCAGTTTCCAGGCAGAAAGAACAGTAAAAATGTAGGCAGGGCACAGGACAAAGCACTAGGGACAAAATGTATGTGAAATGGTTTGATACAGTAATGTTTTACTATGTGATTTTAGTGTATTTAGTGAATGTCACTTTTTGTCATTTTCAAATTTCCCGCCGTTCCGTCCCCCGTACGTTCCGACGTCGCAGGGAACGGAACCCGGAAGACAGATGCCGGCATCCGTCGGAGGACATTACAAGGGACACTGCAGGAGTGGCATCGCGGGAGCGAAGGACAAGGTAAGAGAAGAACAGATCCCGGAGCAGCGCCGTATGGTAAGCCCAAGTGTAGCTTGGGGTTACCGCTTGTGCTACTGAAACTTTACCCCGAGCTACACTCGGGAATACCGCCAGGGAGGCTACAGTAAAGCTGGCCATAGATCATAGATCGGTTCGAATCTTGGCTAGTTCAGCAGGGACTGGCCAAGATTTCAACCATGTATGGGCAGGCTGATTCGATCGAACAACTTGGGTACAAGCAACATGTTGGGTTTTTCATGTGAATTGCCAGCGGCTATTGCCATTAGCAATAATCACTGTGTGGTCTCCCAGCCAGGACAATCCCCCCACGCCCCTCCTCTGGGACAACACAATAGCTCCACGGGAGGGATTCCACCATCAACACTGAATGTTTTGATGGGGGAATCAAGCAATTTTCTTTCCTGCAACCCATTGTTGCAGGAAAGAAAATTGCACTGTCTATGGCTGGCATAAAATTCAAGTATGTTTTTGGTGCTTAAAGCTGCATACTCAAATCTCCTTCCCTAGGTTTCGGGAACCTCCAAGGTTTCAGATGGTTTGTCTGGCCCAATTTCTACATCAATAAAAAATCGGATGATGTCTTAACTAGCAAGCAAAGTTTAACAAATCCTCTATTTTTCTTTTACCATCTTTGAAAGCAAAATATTGAACATTTCAGCAATTCCACTAGATCTTGCTCTCGTAGCTGATGTCTCCGAAATATTTCCACATGAGCAATTTTAATTATGTATCTAGCTGTAATATTTAGGCATTGCATAAATGTGCTTTTGTTTGGCTTCTATATCTAAAAAGGCTTTGTGGCGGGCATAGTGATTACAATCCCATTGCCTTTTTATCTCTGTACATGCTTACAGGGAATTGTTCAGTAATGTACATAGCACATTGGTGTTGCTGGTGTAGATCTTTGATCTGAATAATGAATGAATGTGTGCTTTCCACATGCATAAAAACTTACACATGATTGTAGCTTAGATGTGAAAACCACAAATGAAATTCCTATTCCTTCAGGTTGTTTTTCTGACCTGCATAGCAGAACATATGATTTCACACAATTTATCAAGGTATATAAAATAGTAGTTTAAATATGCATATTGCTAACTTCCCTAACCTCCGCTAGCTTTAATGCACTACCCTTTTGTAAAATCCACTTTACTGTATTTGTCAGCACTAATTGAAAGTGGAAATTTTCTCTGTCAGTTTTGCCACTCTGGATTGTATAAAAGTGACCTTTTAATTTACCCGCATGGTGTTTTTACATTAGAGATCATATAATTACTTTAAAATTGATATAATTCCCCTCCCCCATCAAACTCAACTGGTCAAAAGGTCCTGTTTTGCTGACCTATGTGAACAGAAGAGCTTTTACTGCATGTTTGGATGGGTGTTTTATTACTTATTACAGGTACATATTCAAGCTATAAAATGAATGAGAAGTCAATGAAAGCCATAGTGAAGACTTTGAGGTAGAAGTGAAGAAACCATCTGGGGCGAGCTGCATGGAACCTGCTATGTAATCTTGTTTAAAAAAGCACCTTCCTTTCCTTTCTTTTCCCATAAACTAAACTGGTAGAAAGGATCTTTGGAAGTCTTCTTCAACAACTTCAAGTGGTTGTAAACCCTTAAGCCCAGTACTCATGTATCTAACTTCAGCAGGAACTGGCCAACGTTCAGTCTGTATGTACTGCTGTCTGTTCAATAGAAGCTGGCCTAACTACTGGTTTCTGTCAAGCGGCCTTGCTGGGGAAACCAGCATTCAATCAGTGCTTGCAGCCAATTTGTGTATTCAGACAGAGGAGTCAGAATACAATAGTGCTGCTGGGAGACTCCTGCATTCATCGCTTGGGTGGATGCGGGAGTCTGTCAGTTTTTTTATCCTTCCACCTGTTGGTGGAATGAAATAAAATCTGTACATGTATACACAGCTTTACATATACTCAAAGAAGTGACTACCCTCAGGTGTATAAACAGAGATTAAACAAATCCTCCTACAAAAGTTGTACCTGTGTTTCTGCAGCCCTCTCTTCTCTACAACCCTTCAAAGTTCAGAATTTATACAGCTTTATAGCTTTCAGAAAGCAGGAGGCAGGGAGCTAAAGTTACACACTGCAGAGCTCAGTGAGAGCTGATTGGAGGAAAGGGACACACCCACTTTCACACAGCAGGCAGAAACAGAGATGAGGCTGTCAGTCACAGACTGGAGTGCCCTCCCCTGTAACCTTTTTACCTCTTGTTGTCTGGAAAAATTGTCAGAGAAATGAGTCAGGCAGATAGCAAAGGAATGAGGCAGCAGAGAGAAATGACAGTAAAGCCAGCCATAGATGGATCGAAACTCAGATGGTTCTATTCGGTCCATTGATACAGGCTTGTTGTACTGAAGGTGGTTTATCAACTGACTTAAGTACATCCAGCCTGTCATTTTTTTTTGTCTGTTCACTGCTGGCGGCTATAGCTGCTATCAGTGATCATTGTAATCTGACAGCGGGGAAACCTCCCGCTGTCATAACACAATAGTGCAGCAGCAGGTATTCACCCATCAACACTGACTGTGTTGCTGGAGGAATCAAGCAATTTTCTTTCCTTCAACTGCTGGTTGAAGGAAAGAATATTGCATATTCTATGGCCAACCTTAATGCTCTGGATTTAGACAAGTACACACTATAGAGGGATATGCTTTGTTCATATTTCATGTCAGAGGTTTACAACCATTTTAAAGTGTATATAAACCCTAACAATAAACTTCTCTTATATGCTTCCTTAGGTTGTCCATTATAGTGTTAAACACAATTTGTTATATCTATTGAGAAGTAGAAAACAATCTTGTGAGCTCATAACTTCTCTTGCTCTCTGCCTCTCTGACTGTTATCTGTCAGCATTCTTCTCAGTTCTCTTTATGGAACAGAACACCTCCCATCTGTGATATGGAGAATAGGGTGAAATGTTCTCTAGTCCTAACACACTTCCTGTCATAGGGTGACAAAGTTGCTTCTTCATAGACATAGCACAGTGAATGAGTGTTGTCACCCTAGGACAGGAAGTGTGTTTCTAGCAGGGTCACTAGATAAAAAAGGAGAAAAGAGTCCAAAAAACTAAAGGAGGAACCCAATCTAAGGGCCAGTAAGCCTCAACATGTGTGCTCCCAATAGAAGGCAATTTACTGCTGATATACAGTATAAAGTTAGTAATATGTTTGTTTGTAATGATGCTAAAACACTGGATTGAGCTAGCGCAGATGCTCTCCCACCTGTCATTCATTATGTGATCAGTTATGATAGGACAGTCATTTTTTCTCCTCACTTCACTGGAGTTTACTGAAAAATTACTTTGATGGCTTACATTTTGGTTTGATTAACAACCACAACCACAAAAGCAGTAGACAAAATGATGTGAAATTTCAGAGATATATTGCACAGTAAAATTGCTGTCTTTCTTTTTTTTTTTAACCATGATAAATATCTAATCTGGGCAACGTACATTAACACTAAGAGTTGGATTTATCAAATCAGCTAGAAGTTGATTTCTCAATGGTTGTTCAGGATTAGTATATTTTGTACTGAATGATTCAAGATCCCAGAGCAATGGTACAAACTGATATTGGCCCGTTCTGCATCTTAATTCTGTCCTCAGTGCAGATGTCTTGGCTACATACAACAACAAAAGGATTTGTTTGTAGATTTTGAGACCATGGTTTAATTTGGCTTACTTCCTTTAA